TAATTAATTAGTTTAATAAAACCTGCGTATCTTATGTTACGGATCCAATAACACAAAAAGAAAACCGCAAGTAAGATAATTTTTTTTAAAAATATATATATATATCTAGTAACGTTTTTAAAAAAGAAATTAATGATATGATATTTACCATCTTTTCATCTTTTCATTTTTTAAAGTAATTTTATAACGTATATCCCTGTCATGACCCCAGGAGAACGGTTTACAATTAGAACTGAGGTCAAACAAGCTAGCACGTCCAATATTATAATTTCACGTTTATATATAGATGGACAATTTCACGAAGTTCATCATCTTCACCAACAACATGTCTCAAGGACCATATCGTACTTCGTTAATTTTGAAAGAGATCAAGTATATTACTTTAAATTTGCAGGTACATCTCAACTTGAAAAAAAAGATGATGGCGTATTCAAAGTCCCTTATCCTGTTAATAAATATCCAAATAAGCAAAACCAAACGTCATATGGGAGACCCGGAACAATTACTGCTTGTTTTTTCAAAGGAATTATTGTTGACGAAAGTGCTTTAATTAAACCAAAATTCGAAGTCAAACAAGTTAAGGTTACAAATACGACTGATAATGGGGAGATTGATTATACCACTGGATATGATGTCGTGGATGCAAAAATTCCAATGTCTACCGTAACAAAAATTATTGATATGAAACCCATAGCTGTTTTACATCTTAACTATCGTTCTGTTGATTGGCTGGCAAAAATAGGATTTCCTATGCCAATTTTAAATAACAATGTTGTCATGGAACAACCAAGAGAGATCATAGAAATTGACGTAGATTCAACTAAAAGGATCATGGAAATCAATAACAACAACGTAGATCCAACAAAAGGAGTCATGAACGATAACATCAAAGTGGATCAAACAACAGAATTCATGGAAATCCTAGACCCAAAAAAAGATTTCAAAATTGGTAAAATCGGTAACATCAACGTTGACTCGACAACAGAATTCATGGAAATCCTAGACCCAAAAAAAGATTTCAAAATTGGTAAAATCGGTAACACCAACGTTGACTCGACAACAGAATTCATGGAAATCCTAGACCCAACAAAAGATTTCAAAATCGGTAAAATCGGTAACATCAACGTTGACTCGACAACAGAATTCGTGGAAATCCTAACAAAAGGAATCATGAATGATAACATCAACGTTGACCCGACAACAGAATTCCTAGATC